AGTGGTGTGATCTCAGCTCACTGCAACCTCCACCTCCTGGATTCAAGCAATTCTCCTGCCTCAGCCTCCTGAGTAGCTGGGACTACAGGTGGGTGCCACCATGCCCTGCTAATTTTTGTATTATAAATTAGTCCTTTCTTTTTATAAGAGAGAGGGTTTCACCATGTTAACCAGGATGGTCTCTATCTCCTGACCCTGTGATCCACCTACCTTGGCCTCCCAAAGTGCTGGAATTACAGGCATGAACCACTGCCCCAGGCCTAATTAGCTTGCTTTTCTACAGTGCCTCCTGCCCTGGAGTCATGTAATCAAAGGTCACAAGATTTGTAACTTCACCAACTACTCCTATAGATAATAACTATTGTGAAGACTAATTAGCTAGTCTTTGAGATATTTTTCAAATATAGCATTTTGGTTTACCAACAGACACAATCTAGACCTGTGAACCCAATCCTCAGAAATGACTCAGGTTCATGAAGATAGTTCTGACACCCCTATGATTCATCCCTGTCCCAACCTATTAGCATTTCCCATTTCCTAGCCCCCTGCCCACTAACCTAGATGGCTAAGATTCATGTAAAATAAAAGGTCTTGATAATAATAAAATGTAGTCTGGTACAAAAGACAGACATAAAAGAATATATTAGAATGTAGTAAATACTGTATCGGCAACAAATAAAACTGCATTAGTTCTCCAGAGGAACTAGAAGAATCCAGAAGATAAACTGGTGTTGAACTATGACAAATGGAGAAAGTAGAATTCTAAGTTTTTTTTTTAAATGCATGTACAAAGAGCATAGAGACATGGACAGCATACAGCATCATGTGTTCAGGGAATGGTGACAAATTCAAAATCACTAGAGTAAGGGAGATAACACAAGAAGATAATTCAAGTGAAACAGATTAGAGAGATCCTGTGAAAGGCCCTATATAATGTTGTACTATAAGAATGGAAAGCCATCAGAGGTTGTCAGGCAAAGAAAAAATCATTAAATGTAGATTTCAGAAATATTATTATATTTTAATGTGCAGAATTGGCTGGAAGGAAGGGGTAGAAAGGCTAGAGAAATGTTGAAATAATTTAAGCAAGACTACTTGGTAGAGTTTTCTAACAGCTAGAAATAAAAATCTAGAGTTTGGAGAAATCAATTTAGGAATACAGCTTTAGAAATAAGCAAAGTTGTCAGTAATCCACCCAGAGAGGGGATATGATGGCAAAGAAGTATCAAAAGTCAACATTTCAACAATGATCTCCCAAACCAGGGGAAAAGTGATTCCAAACTTAGAGAGGGTGTTTTAGGAGGGGAGAAGTCAGAAAAGTGAATTGGGCTTAGCAATTTAGAAAGGTGTGTGGAAAAGTGTAGTTGGATGCTAAAGAATAGCGGATGGGAGGGAAACAAAGTAAGGAGACATGTCATGTTGACCCTGGCACTCAATACAGCCTGTCAATGACTACCAAGTAGCACCACAGGTGGGTGGGTGGGTGCGTGGACCGGGGAGGGGGGTTTTGTTAAAAATACTATCTCAGCCCTAACCCAGACCTACTGAATCAGAATGTACATTTTGACAAGCCGCCAAACGAAAGTAGTTACACCTTTAACTACTTGGACCACCGTATTTATTTGCTAAATTTGACAGCAGAGAGAAGAAAATTAGTATAGCTTGAAACGGAAGAAAATATTAATAGTTCCCAATTTGGCCTCGAGCTTTCTCTTTTTAATTGAAAAACAAAGTTAACTTTCAAAAACCTCGAGAGTCTCTGGGAAAAGCTGTAAGGATGCCGTAGCAGTAGACACCAGTCAGCCATTCTGCCCATGCCTAGCGCGAAGGACTCAGGTTTAAAATATCCGGATTCGGCGAGCCGGATGTCCACGCCAACTGGCGCGGCATTGTGGGAGTCGTAGTCCGGGCCTGCGTCCCGATTTACGACAAACGGTTGGGGCAGCATTCGGAAGAGACTCCGGGTTAGCAAAGGACCCCTGGGACAGGCGTTCTGGTGGAAGGGCGGGCGTCATTTTCTCTTCCTCTGCGGAGAGTCCTGAGCCCAGGAGGGAAGCGAGCTTAGCTCCCCATCGGCCTCGGCGGCCGGGACGCGCACACTTTGCGTCATGGCGGGCTGAGGCCGATGATGAATTCCGGTGTGCCTGTCAGGCTTGCTGTGTCACTCGGCCCGCTCGGCGCACCCCTTCCCAGCCGCCCTTCCGTACCGGCTCTTGGGCTCTTCCGGTCTCCGGCCGCAGCTTACCTGCAGGCGGCTCTCCTGCCGCGGCCCGGCGCTCGCCAAGTCTCCCTTGCGGCCTGCTCTCGCGCAGTGCCCGGGCACCGGGCGCCCCACCGACACTGGCCATGACGAGCGGCGCCACCAGGTACCGGCTGAGCTGCTCGCTCCGGGGCCATGAGCTGGACGTACGGGGCCTGGTGTGCTGCCCCTATCCTCCGGGGGCCTTTGTGTCCGTGTCCCGAGACCGCACTACCCGCCTCTGGGTCCCGGACAGGTGAGCGCTGGGAGTCGGGTTGCCCGGCTGTGTTGCAAGCTTCCCGGAGGGTGGGAAGAGAGTGACCCCTCCTGTCAATCTTCCCTTCTTCCTCTCCCGCAAGCCTTCCTTTTGCTCTCCGCTCCCTTCCGATTTTCAGACTCCTGGAACTCTGGGCTCACGGTGTAAGAAACCGTGGAGATTTATGTGGAAAGAGCACCGGGTTGGGGGACCAAAGACCTGCCTTTTTGTGCTAACTTGACCACAAACGAGTCTCTTACCTTTTGGGGCTTCAGTTTTTGGACGATGATCTCCCAAGTTTCTTTTAGACTTGAAAATTTACAGATTCTCGTTGCACCTTCCCATGTGAGGTAGTGTGTAGGCATCTGACATGACCTCTTTTTTTTTTTCCTCCCAAAGATGCTCCGTAGTCTTCTCTAAAATTTAAGTTTTGAAGATTTTAGGTTTTAGAAATTGCGTTGCTGAATCCTCTTCTCGTCCAGTTTAGAATTTTAGTCTGGTCTGTGCTGGTCTTGAGAGGAGGGAGTGAAACCTCTCGGATGTTTTGTTGCTGTGTATGTGCTGTTTCTTGAGGAGAGGGAGCATCCATTGCTTTCCAAGGATTTATTAGAAGGGTTCACGAACCAAAAAAAAAAAAAGTTGGGAATCGGTCCTGAGCGAGTTCTCAGGTTCAGCCCTGATTTGGCTGGTTGAAGCAGGATGTTTAAGACCTAGAAGACAGATACCAGTTCAGAGAAAGAAAAATGGAGGTTAGTTGTTTTGTTATTTAGTAGATCTCCCATCACTAGGGATTTCAGAATTGAGTCACCATCCATAAATTCACTCGATAACTATTGAGCGCCTCCTATTTGTTTGGGATACTGGAGAGGAATAAAGACAGACACGTTGCCCATGTTTCTGGAGCTTTCTTACAATCTGCCGGGGAAAATAGATTAAAAAACAAGCCAATAAATAAAAACTGGCATATAAAGAAACCATACAGTTAAGAATTTTGTGGAGAGAGAGAGTGAAGGAAGCCTTTCTGGAAGTCGTTTGTTTAAAGCTGACATTGAAGCATGAGCTGGATGGAGCTGGTCTTCGAAGAGCAAATGGGGAGAGTTGAATTGGAAGGGACCCGGGGGAGCAAACAGGAGGGAATTAGCTGTGAGGTGAGGGCAGGTATTTGAGGCTGGCAAGAGCCAGATTATGGAGTTTGCAGATGGAAGCCCTCAAATAGTTTCAAGCAGGGAGCAACATGATCTGATTTGTGTTGAGAAGTTTCTGCTAGCTGATGGTAGAGAATAGATTGGGAAAGGGTAAGTGTAGAAGTAGGTTTGTTTGGAGGCTTTTGAAGTAGTGTAATTAACACAAGATGGTCCACTAGAGTAGGGATAGTGTAGAGCAAATTCCTGTATTGAATTTAATGAGGTGATCTCTAAAGATCTCTTCTAAGATTCTATAATATCCAAAACTACTTAGTAACACTAATATGTAACTTTTTGTTTGAGAACAGTTAAGTTTTTGCCTTTAAAATTGAATCCAGTAGAAGCATAAGCCCAGGAGAATATAACCACTGCAGTAAGGAGTATAATCAAGGATGCCTGTTTTAATAGTGGAATCCTGTCATTCAACTTTTAGGACTGCACTAGATTGACAGGAGTTTAATCACTGGAGTAGTTATGCTTACCAGGAACTTGAAGAACTTTGGGCTGGCTCACTTCAATGCCAGCAACATGCCATTGTTTCAGACTACTGCAGGCGTCTTTAAGCTAGCTTCTGACCAAATTACATTTCCCAAGTCTGTTGTTGACTTATGGGTGGGGAGAGGTGAGATAAGACTTCAGCAGCATTGCCTTTTGAAAATGACCACCGGAAGACACATCTTCAGATATCGGATTTGATTATATTAATCTATGTTAATAGATTATTTTAGGTATAATCTATTAGTTCCTACCGTAGAATATGAAAATTTATTTAGCTCTCTTTTTGCCTTCCACTCACCCCATCAGATAAGCGTCTTTTCTGTGCTTTGACTCTTATAAATTAAGCTGTGGAATAAACTATAACTCTTCCTTAACAATTTTATGATCTCCATGTAGCTAATGTTTTATTTTGGTTTCATTTGCTTAATTTTCTATGTATATATCACTGACTGAACTTCAAGCTCTTTGTTTGTTACTGAATTGCCTCTGAAGGCATTTAGATATATTGGCTATTTTACAATTTCCTCTTCCTGACAATGAAAACTTTCTGACCTGCTCTGTCTGCCTCTGATGCACAGCCAATCCTGGGGTTTTCCTTCATTGTTGTTTCCAGAATAACTTTTCTGAACCTCATGTGTTGGATTCTTATGGTCATTATCCTTTAGCTTTTTCTTTGTTGGTTTTATGCTTTGTTGCCTTATTGGAACATTACCTCTAGGAGCTTCCTGAAATAGAGTGTGTCAGTAATAAATGTTTTAAGGCCTTGCATGTCTGAAAGTGATTTTATTTTGTCTCGCTGCTGGAATGGTAATTTGAATGGTTGTAGCATTCTAATTTTGAAGTAATTTTCCTTCAGAATTGCGACAGTATTCCTTCATTGTATTCCATCTTATAGTGTTATTGTTGAAAAGTCTGAAGTCATTCTGATTTTTCTTTCTGGAAGGCAGTCTACTTCTATCCATTGTTCCAGGCCATTGGTGGGCCCTTTTAATATGAAAATTCATGTCCATAAAGTCTGGGAAATTTTCCTCAATTAATTCTTTGATCCTTTGGCTGCTTTCTCTTTATTTATTTATGTTTTTGGTCTTCTTTTTTGTGGAACTGTTTTTATTCAGATATTGAACTTGCTTTCTAAATTTCTCTTTTTTTTCCCTTAGCTATAATCTCTAGCAGGTTGCCTTGATTTTTTGTGAAATTATGTCCTTGCTTCATGGTTGCAATATCTTATATCTCTAAGGATGATAATAACAATTAAAAGTTTTAAGTTATTTTCTCCTGAATGGTCTGTTTTCCTCCAGGTTGGTTTGTCTCTATTTTGATCACTGTATTTCATGCTGGAGGCTTTTCCCAGATGTCTGGTAATCTTTATTGTGTGCGCTGTCTTATGGGTGGAGAATTAAGACATTCCTGGGAGATCCGTGCTCCTGGATGGGGCTTGCTGGTTGTGAGTTTTACCGTTCGGTTATCTGGTAGGGCCATTATATTGGGCTGATCTGCTGCCCAGAGGATGAGGGTGTGGTTTCCAGGGTTTTGTTTTGGTGGTTTTGGACTCCAGTGGGAATATACGTGTTCTTTACACTCCAAGACTCAACTATCCTTATGTCCCCCCATTCAAAGATTTTAACCTTTCTAAAGAAAAAGCTTCAGACTTTTGCTGAGTGCTAGAAGGACAGTTGTCTGGCTGGGTTGTCTAGTCGCCCCACCCTCCCTTTTTCTGGTCTTAATGCATACTTTAAGGGTTTTCTTGTTCATTTGTTTGTTCTTTGAGATGGAGTCTTGCTCTGTTGCCAGACTAGAGTGCAGTGGCGCAATCTCGGCTCACTGCACTTCCCCCTCCTGGATTCAAGTGATCCTCCTGCCTCAGCCCCCCGAGTTGCTGGGACTACAGGCACGAGCCACCACACCTGGCTAATTTTGTATTTTTAGTAGAGATGGCATTTTACCATGTTGGCCAGGATGGTCTCGATCTCCTGACCTCATGATCCGCCCACCTTGGCCTCCCAAAGTGCTGGGATTACAGGTGTGAGCCACCATGTCCGGCCAAGTATTTTTTTAACTCAATTTAAGAAATACTTAATGCTAACCATGTAAAACATTGTGCTAGGGACTTAGGAAGACACAAGAACCTAATCTGGATTCTGCCATTAAGAACTTAACAGACTGCTGCTGAAGATGCTTACAAACATGTATGCTTTGAAGTGCTAAGGGATACACATAGTAGGTGGGTTTAGTGATTTACATCATTTAAAAACATGTCTTTTGACTTCCTCTAGGCTTATAGATAAAAATGGTTTCAAAAGCACATTAAAAAACAAGACAACACCCACTGCAATGAACGAGTTGAAATTGGTTACTTCCTGATACCTTCCTTTGAAGGCCTGTTCCTATGCTTCTGATTCTGAAGACTTTTGATTAGTCTTTCTCATGTTTGTTTCTGCCTCTTTGTCCTCATTTCTAGAGGTATTGCTAATTCTTTTACTCCCAGTTTTTTTTTATTGTGGTAAAATACACGTAACATAAAATTTGCCGTCTTAATCATTTTTAAGTGTACAGTTCAATGGTATTAAGTATATTCATAATGCGTAACCATCACCACCATCCATCTTTACTCACCACCCCCAGACCCTGGCATCAACTGTTCTATTTAATGTCTCTTATGATTTTGACAGCTCTAAGTTCCACATATAAGTGGGATCATACAATATTTGTCGTGTGTGTGTGTGTGTGTGTGTGTGTGTGTGTGTGTGTGTACGGAGTCTTGCTCTGTCACCCAGGCTGGAGTACAGTGGCTCGATCTCAGCTCACTACAACCTCCACCTCCCAGGGTCAAGCGATTCCTGCCTCAGCCCCCTGAGTAGCTGGGACTACAGCCACCCACCATCATGCTTAGCTAATTTTTTGTATTTTTAGTGGAGACGGGGTTTCACGCTATTAGCCAGGATGGTCTTGATCTCCTGACCTTGTGATCCGCCCACCTTGGCCTTCCAAAGTAATGGATTACGGGTGTGAGCCACTGCACCTGGTCCCTCCCCGCCCCGCTTTTTTTTTTTTGAGATAAAGTTTCCCTCTTGTTGCTTAGGCTGGAGTGCATGGCGTGATCTAAGCTCACTGAAACCTCGGCCTTCCGGGTTCAAGTGATTCTCCTGCCTCAACCTCCTCCCAAGTAGCTGGGATTACAGGCATGTGCCACTAAGCCCAGCTAATTTTGTATTTTTAGTAGAGACAGGGTTTCTCCATGTTGGCCATGCTGGTCTCGAACTCCCGACCTCAGGTGATCCGCCCATCTTGGCCTCCCTAAGTGCTGAGATTATAGGCATG